CGTTATATACATCTCAAAGATTGTGTTGTGTCCGTAGGAGAAGTGCACTCAGCCTTCTGAGTAATGTAATTACTCAGCCTGTAATGTGGAAGATAGTTGAATTCTTAGCCATCTCTAGGACTTGCATGGAGAGCAGAGTTCAAGTTTACATCAGCTGCTCTGTTTTATGGGTGACAGACATGATTGCTCATTTGGCTCCTGTAGCTGAGGTGAGCTTCGGCAAGTTCAGAATTAAGAGATACACGTAAGCTGAGTATTTTTCTAAGACTTTGTGAGAGAATTAAAGTGTAATTACTTCAAATTTTTTCCGCTTTCAGAAAAAACTAAAATTTCACACAGTTTGATATATAAGATGAAAGTACGTGTGTATACCTATATGTGTATATACACGTTCATTTATTTATATATAACTTATACCTATTTATGCATAATTGTAGGAGCTCTGGTAGGCTAGTGCCTAAGACACTTGACTGCTAACCAGAAGGCTGGCGGTTCAAACCCACCAGCCACTCCTCGGAAGGAAGGTTGTGCAATCTACTTCCATAGTGATACTGCCTTGGAAACCCAAAGAGGGGTCACTATGAGTCAGGTCTGACTCAATGGCACATAACAACAACAACAACGTGTATAATTGTAATGAATAAGTACTGTTTGTTGTGTGCGTGCGGTACTTATTTTATTAAAATGTTACTGTTCTGTATCAAGCTGCACATTCAGTGTACTGATAATCACTGTGTAATTGGCTGTATAATTAGTTGCTTATAAGCTGATAGTAAATTCAGTTCCCGCAGATGTGGGTGGTGGTTTACTTTTTACAAAGAATTTACTTTGTGGTCTGTCTCTATCCATGTCCAAAGCTCAAAAATCATTGTCCCTGTAACCACGGGGTAATGGCGAGTTGTTTGTGCTGGGCCTCGAGACGCCTGCAGCAAGTAGGAGAGTTGTTGTGAAAGGCCGTTGGAGTCCTGTCTGAGCTGTCCTGTCGCTGTTGAATCCAGGAGTGCAGCCTTGGCAGGTGAATTGGGTAGGGGTAGAGCACAGGAATGTTGCCCTTCCAAGCTGGGGAAGGACATGAGATGCTTTTCAGATGTTCCGGTTTAGGTCACTATTAATGCGATCTATTACATGAAGTTATATACATATATTACAGGCCAGGATGCCACTCCTTGCCACCATTTTATTTGATGTTAAAATAATGCAAAACTGCAGAAAAGTGGTTAATTAAACGGGGTCCGGTCCAGTCCTGGAGCTGGAGTTCTGTTTTCAGGTGGTGGGACTTTGGGGGCGAGTCTGATGCAGGGAAGTGTTGTGGAGACTGCTGCCCCAGGTGGTTGGGGTGCTGGGTGGGGTGTGCGTTGGGATGTTTGTAAAGGGCTCTGAGTTGCATGTGGACTGTCTGAGGAGGAGGTTAAGCAAAACGAATTGGGGAAGTCAAGCTCTGTCCTTGTTCTTTCTACCTTCACTTGGCTGTTTGTGGTGAGTCTGTTGAGAAGTTGCTAGTAAAGCCTTTGCTTTGTGCCTTTTTAAAGTATCTTTTATGCCTGTAGAGTGTGTGTGGGGGGAATAAAAACTAATTACAGATTTCTAATAATAAATAACAGCAGATCAGCAGCTAATTACCCTCCACACCTGTCATTTGGAAATACGTGGACTCTGGCGTCACAGTCATCGTTAGTGATGGTGATGAGGCTCCTGGTGGCCAGTGCTGTGTTGATCATGGACGTGTTATGTATCTGTGTCAGGCACACACACCACACTTCATTTAACCTTCACAGCTGTCCTTTGAGGTGAGAATAAACTATTTTACAGGTGAGAAAATGGAGGCAGAATGAGATGTTACAGTAGTTTTTTTTTTTTTTTTTTAGGTTATACTTTTAGCAGTTCTTTCTTCATTACTGATCATTTACATTAATACTGTCAGCTATTTTGTAAATTTTTTAAAAAGTGGAAGCTTACCTCGCTTGTGAACTGGGAGTTTAGTTCTGGACATAGAACTGAAGAGTCAAAGTTTTTCTCTTATTTTGTGTTGTCCTTCTTATGCATAACATGTGTTAAATTATCTTTGGCTAAGCTCTGGTAGCATAGTGCTTAAGGCACTTGACTGCAAACCAGAGGGCTGGCGGTTCAAACCCAGCAGCCAGTCCTCAGAAGGAAGATGGGGCAATCTACTTCCATAGTGATACTGCCTTGGAAACTCAAGGAGGGGTCACTTATGGGTCGGGGCCAACTCCACAGCAAATAACAACAACAGCAAGCTCTGGTAAAGAGCTCTGTTAGCATAGTGCCTAAGGCACTTGACTGCTAACCAGAAGGCTCACAGTTCAAACTCACCAGCCACTCCTCAGAAGGAAGGTTGGGCAGTTCACTTCCATAGCGATACTGCCTTGGAAACCCAAGGAGTGGTCGCTATGAGTCGGGTCCGACTCAACAGCATATAACAACAACAACAAGCAGCTCTGGTAGCTCAGTGCCTAAGACATTTGACTGCTAACCAGAAGGTTGGCGGTTCAAACCCACCAGCCACTCCATGGAAGCAAGACTGGGCAATCTACTTTGTAAGGATTTACTGCCTCGGAAACCCACTGGGGGTCGCTATGAGTTGGAATCAGCTTGATGACAGTGAGCTTGGTTTTTTGGTTCATTGCAGCAGAAGGAGCCTTGTGGTGCAGGGTTGAAGTATTCAGCTGCTAACCCACCAGCCGCTCCATGGGAAAAAAAGGTGGAAGTCAGTGTGCAGTGAAGATTGCAGCCTGGGAAACCCTCTGGGGCATTTCTGCTGTGTTCTGTGTGCGGCGGAAGCAGCCCCACGACAAGGGCTTGGTTTGGTTTCCTGGTATTGGGACTAGAGCCCTCAGGAACTCGGCTGCCTTGAGTTGAAGGTGTTACTTTTAGAAGAGGCAGCACAGTGTAGTCAGAATGCAGGGAGTATAGTAACAGGTGTCTTTCATAGCTCACTCCCTCTAATACGGACCTTCTTAAGGCAGGTTGGCTTTTTTGGAACTTCTGCTATTCTCATGACCTCTTCCCAAGTCGATTCTGACTCATGGTGACCCCCGCTGGGTTTCCGAGGCAGTAAATCTCCACGGAAGTAGATGGCCCATTCTTGCTTCTGCTCCTGATGGTTACTAATAATAGCCCCCAGCTCCTGTGGATGAGCCTGGTCAGGAGAGGTTATGTGGCTTCTTCCACTTCCCTGCTTTTTTCCTTAAAAAAAAAAAAACAAAAAAAAACACACACATATTCTTCACTTAAACATGGTTAAGTTCCAAAACCCGTGTTGTTAGGTGAAATTTGATGTAACGTGGAAATGGAAGATGACCTCAGCGGGTCGTAAGTTTCATTGTTACGTAACTGCCAACCCGCTGAGAATGGTGACCCAGCCAAAGTGACACATAACTTTAACCACACAGCCACGTTACTCTTGCCTTGCACCTTAGCGTTCGTCAGTGCATGCGCTGTTATCATGTTCAAGATACTTGGATAGTAGATATTTTACTATTGTCATAAATGTGAGATGTTGGATAATGAGAGTCGGTAAGTGAGGAGTAGGTATATTAGGGATTCCTGTTCAGCGCGATGGCAATGAGTTTGATGTTTTTTTTCTTTTTTGGTTAGTGTCCTTTTGTTGACGGTGAAATTATCCAGCTAACGATAGGTGGTTGTCAGTTGCTGTCCAGTCAGCTCTGACTCCTGGCGACCTTCTGTAAGACAGACCGGAGTTGCCTGGTCCTGACTATCTTCATGATGCAGCTCTTGCTGTTTGTAGTCTTCTTCAGTCACTGCTGGGGAGACAGGCATCTCTCACGGCTGTATTTCACTCAGTTTCTGTTTCAGTCCAATTTAAGTGTGATAGGTTGCTGGTAGTGCTGTTTTATTTTATTTTATTTTTTTAAGCCCTCCAGTCACGTCAGTAATTTCTAATTGTACAGAGTAAGGCAGGCCCTGGTGAAGGCAGGTCTTAGGATCTGTTTCCATTGGGGAAAATATGTATTGATTCCAAGGAATGATGCCCTGATGTGGATGTTACCTTGCATGTCTCTAAACCTTAAAGTATCTAAGATATATAACTATGCATTGGTTTCTGTCTTCGAGAAGTTTTTGAATAAATGGAAAAGTACCTTGAGCAAAGGAAAAGAGAAAAAAAAGAACCACTTGCTTGAATAATCATAGATGAATAAAAATGTCTGTCAATCACCTCTGATCGATTTTATTTACGTAGAAGCCAGTTCTTACTACCCTCAGAATTGTGCTGGCAGGGGCTGGATGTTGCCAGTGGGATCACAGCTCTTAGGACAGTGCCTGCTACTGTGGGAAGATGGGACATCCTCAGCTGGTAATAGCAGCTCTGGGAGTACGCATTCTGTGCCAGGCACCCGGAACTGTATTGTTCAAGGAAAGCACTTATTCTGTCAAACTCTGAAGTTTAGATTTGGAAGTAGTCTCAGATGTCCTGACACTTAAGTAAATACGGACTGTGGAAAGGTTACATGACTTGTTGAAGGGCGCAGCTAGTCCTTGGCAGAGAGCATCAGCGGCTGCTGCGCCATCTGAATTTGTTCCACTGTTGATTTGGACACACCGTTCTTTCTCCTTCGTGATGCCTGTGTGCCTGTGCTTTCACTCTTTTCTTCATCTGTGTCTCCTGTTTCTCCGCCCTCCCTCATCTTTTCCCCTTCCTTGCTGGCTCTGACCCTCTGCCATCACTTCTCTTCCCAGTGGCAGCACCCCTTGTACCAGCAGCAGCCACGTTTGTCTTTGGGAGGTAGAGCATCGTGGCGGAAGTCAGAGACGATGCCATTTGGAGTCAGACCTCCCTTTGAATCCTGGCTTCCCTCACAGGTTATGTGCTCTTGGGTCAAAGAGCTTAATCCCCACGTCTCGGTTTTCTGACTATAAAATGGAAATGAAAATAGTGTTTATTTGTGAAGACGTCCCCTGTTCATACAACAGCAGTCAAGTGCTGCTCTCTAGGCCAACTTGAAGGGGCCCAAGTGGAAAGAATGACCTGCAGTCCTCCAAGTCCCCGGAATGTGAAGGATGCCTTTCTCCTCACCAAGTGTGGACTGCCGCCACTGCTACCTCTCAGCTCTGTGACAGGCCTGGAAGGTGGGGGAAATGGAGGCAGAATACCGCTTGGCTGGGTGATCTGTTTGCAGAAAGGAATCCATTTCCGTCCATGTCTTCTGCAGAGAGATGCCTCCCTGTGTGGTGTCTGGGCACCTGCTTTCCCCAGGGTGTGGTCAGAAATGTTGTTCCAAAATAGTGCCTTCACCCACAGGAAGCGGGAGTTCTTTTTGAATCTGATTTCTGAGTTCTGGTTTCCAGCCTGAGGAGTCAACTTTTCCCTGGATAATTCACCCTAAGAATATCTTTCTCTTCGCCATACAGACCACAAGACCCCTGAGTCCAACGCAGTACCTTTGATAGTTGCCTAAGAGATGGAGGCGTGGCACATGAGGCTGCAGGTTATTGTGAGGAACAGAACTTCATCAGCAGTTACAAGCGTTATTACTTGGCATTATGAATCCTGTCGGGATGCTGTCGAGGCCATGCCTGGGTATTCTGCTTCAGCCGTTACTTCCCTGACCCCATTTCTGGGAGCACTGGGCCCATGTCTGCTTTTGCACACGCCTGTACCCCAGGGCCTGGGGCACAAACAGGTATCCAGTACCTGTGTGTTGAGTGCTACGAGGAAGATGTGCTGTGCGTGGATGATTAACACAGGCTTAAGACACTATACTTAACCCAAGTCAATCCTATTAATTGTTTCTGCTTTGAGGAAATGGTTGCTGGTTGTGGTAAACTTTGTATTATATCTTATTGTTAAAATGTTTGTACATAAGCTTTGAGTGGAGAGTAGACCAGAACTGTGGGCACTGCAGATAGATGTTGGGGAAAACCTCCAGAGAAATGAGTCATTACCAGCCCTGCTAGTGTCTCTGGTACGGCCACCTTGTCATTATGGATTAGGGTTTTGTTGTTGCTGGGTGTTTGTGTTTGTTTTTAAAGCTCAGAGCAGTCCCACGTTTCAATGACTGTGCATCCTGTCGTCTTGGGTCTAAGATCCTTGGAGGAATTTAACAGTGAGGTCATGAGCTTTACCTCCTTAGCTAAGTGCCCTGGCCTCTCAGGTGCAGGATAGAGGGTGCTCAGGCAGTTTTGGAGTGAAGTGGTCCGCCAGCAGAGCGGTCAGGTATCTCACTGCTGGTGGTGGAGGGAGTCTTAGGAATGTTGCGTAGCTTCGAGTGTTTTTGTGCTAATAGCCCTAATAAAAGTTTTTCATAAAGTGTTTTGTTTTGTGTTTTTCCTCCCAAAAATTGAGATATCCAGATAACAGTGCAGGCTCCTTGGGGAGCTTATGTTCTCATGTGGGAGAGAGGCAGTTGGCAGTAGATAAGAGCTTTCTGTAGTATGTTAGGCAGTATGAGTTGTAGGAATAAATTGAATAGGACAAGGAAAATTCAGAGGGTTCTTAGTGGTTTGGGGCAAGTTGCAGTTGTGAATAGGGGATCAGGGTGGCCTTGTTGATGAGTAGACAGTGGGCCAGAGATTGGAGGGAGGTGGCAGAGTAGGCCAGGTGCTTCCCAGAGAACAGCTTTCCACCAGGAGGGAGAGGAACACCGCACCTCAGGCCAGGACCAGGCCAGGACTGGCTGTGAATGAGGGAGAGCCTTATTAGGAAAGAAGGCCAGAAGCTTAACACCGTGAGAGTGAAAGGATGTTATTGTAGGCCCTTGTAGATCTTGGGGAGAACTTGAGGTTTTATATGTAACTGAGATGGGAAATGGAGAGTAGTTCTCGGAGCATGCTCTGAGGACCCGGGGAGGAAGTCTGTGAGGTCAGCACTACTGGCATGATAATACTGTTTGCCTTTTCCAGGCTCATTCTTGCATGCTTGTGCCATGGAGTTTTCTTAAAGTTCGGTCCTGTGTGATACTGCAACAGACAAAATGCAGAAGATAGGAGAATCCAGTTGTCTCTATTAACAAAGACATTAACTCCCTGCCGTGGATTCAGTCCTGACTCATAGTGACCCCTCCTTGGGTTTCCGAGGCGTTTCCGCTATGAAAGTAGATTGCCCAGCTTTCCTTCCGAGGAGTGGCTGGTGGGTTTGTACCACGAGCCTTCTGGTTAATAGTCAGATGCCTTAGGCACTACGCCACCAGAGCTCATAAGGCATTAGCAGTGTACAAAAATGTAAAACAGTACTTTTTATTTGGGAAAATATTTGGGAACTGTATTATTTTCCCGATACAGTTATTTGTGTTAACATTTAATAAGTTTAGTGTTACCATTTTAAAATGAATTAAAATAAAAACAAAAGCCCTCTGGCTCATCAAAAGTAATTTTTAACTGTGGGGTTGTGAAGCCACAAGGCTCAAGACAGCTCCATTAGATGGTTTTGAGCCAAGCAGAGACATCTCACTTGGGTTCTAACGGGCGAGTATATAGAAGAGTACTGATGAGCAGTGGTGGAAGCCAGGAGGCCAGTGTGAAGGTGGTGGTTGACGTGGCAAAGAAGTGGGATTCTGGATACATTTTATAAGTAGAGTGAGTGCAGAGTGTTTACTGGTGGATTGGATGTGACGTGTGAGAGAACAAGTTTGCCGTTGTCTGAGATTAGGAGGAGCATGTTGTTGAGTGTGTCAAGGTTGGGACTCCTTAGATGGTCAAGTGGGCGTGCTCAGTAGGTGGGAGTGGGAGCAGGGGTTTCAGGGGAGAGTGGGGCAGGCAAGTCTTCCACCAGTGTGTTGGTTCGTTCATGTCAGTAATTAAAAAAAAAAAAAAAAAAAAAAAAGCATTTAGCCTTCATTCTAATAAATTAAACTTTTATGATCTCAGAGTGCTGTATCATTTTAAAAATCCTTCAGATTGTCTTCTAAGATTGTTGTTACATGATGGTAGAATATACACTTTAAGCAGCAGTAAAAAAAAAAAAAAAAAAAGTGGTTCTGCCAGTAGCAGAAATGACTTAGAATTTTTCTGAATCTAGTTCTTTGTAAAGTAACCCACCTTTGGTTTAATTGAAGGGATCATATCGTTTACCATGTAAAAGTAATGTTTGCGGTATCAAGTACCTTGACATCTGAGGGTCTCTCTAATACGTTGTTACTGCAGAAGTGAAGCTAGCTAAGGTTTTTTTGCTGAAGTTTTAGTTTCCTTTCAAACTCAAATCTCGATGTCCGCAGTAAAGGACCTCTTGGGATATTGTCTAAATAGACTGTTATGCCTTAGCCTCCCCCCCAGCTGTTGGTAGCACGAAGGTTTTCAGAGCTGCTGTAGCACCTGTGCGTGTCATTGGCTTTTGTGTGGGCGATTAGATGATGCTCACGTAGGCTTTTCCTCCATTTAACGTAGTTGGCATTTGGAATACAATCGATAAGGGTAATTAAAAATCAAGTTATTATCAACCAGGGAAAACTGCCCATTCGTCCCCCAGCACAAACAAATCCTTCCTGTTTTCGGGAGGAGAGGTATTCTCTGTTTCATGATTACACTACTTTACCTGGTTCCTTTT